TGAAGCTGAGAGGAGCAGTGAGTGGACTCTGCCTGTTGGCATTAATCATATTAATTGTCAAGTGCTAAAAATTAATCGATTAATGTTTTTCTGACGATGATACGATTATGCCCAACCCTACCTCAAATCATGTCCTTTCTAAGAGTTAGAACTCTGTTGTAGATATAAAGGATAGCATTTAGAAAATGCAATTATGCAACTATCAAAAAACTTCCTCTCAGTCACTGAAAATAATTTATTTACCACATTTTAAAGACCGATTATTATCTGGGCCCTTAAGAGTTAGTGCTCCAGAACGGGACTGTCTGTCTGATGGGCAGCTGTGATGTGTGTAACAGAGGAGAGGAGAGCAGCTCAGCTCCATGTTTGAGTACAGCAGGACCTATAAAGCAGCTGATTCTGTCTGGATTTGAATTTACAAACTACTCTGGTTACTTTTTTCAAAGTTGAGGGACATTACGCACGCTCTGCCATGAGGAGGTTCGGCTTAAAGACACGTCCCAGAGGCGTTTCTGGTCCCAAAAGGTGTTTCTGGTCCCCACCTGTCATTTTGCTCCTCCGCATGGCTTCATAAAAACGCTGCAGGATTTCTCAAACATGCATGAATGAGTCAGAGCAAGGCTTTGGGCATGTTTTTATGAGAGTATAACATTATAACATGATATAAAACTCAAAAAAGTTGATTTTACATGATATTGCCCCTTTAATAAACTTGAAAAATAATTAAGCTAACTAGCAAAAACAGCATGTTTTTTAAATTTGTTTGTTTAAAAYAGCATGTAGACACAACCGGAAGTGCAGTGAGTGACGCTGCGCTTTACATGTAAAACGTGTTTATAGCTTGGAGGAGCAGTCGGTCTTACGCGGGACTATAACTTCAGTTTGGATTGGCCGAATTGCACAAATGACCCCTCCTTTTCATCTTTGGAACCAGTAAAATCAAGCTATCAACAACACGTTCATGTCAACCTGACCAATCACACGCTAAAAGGAGAGGAAGGTCTGTGACGCAGTTTGAAAGACTTTCACCTTCGTCCAATGAACGTCTTGTAATCTGATCAGACGGGGCAGTTTTGGAGGAGAAACTGCTTGAAACTCATACCGGGAAACATAGCTACTCTGTAAATACAAGTTTATGCCGGTGAATTTAGGATTTGGTAGAAAAAAAATCAAAGGTAAGAAAACTTGTGTTTTATGATTTTCAAATCAGAGTGTCACATCTTCTCTTTTTTTTGCTGCTGGTTGAGTGAATTCTGGTTGGATTGTGACGAAACTTCTATTTTTAGAATCTGTGAGGTCTCTGCTTTCAGCTGACATGTTTGTGTGTGAAGAAGTCAGCGTGAACAGCTGAGACCGAGTTATGCCGAGACGCCATTTTGTGCAGTTTGTTTACATATAGATTCAACTGTTTGTTGTTTTATCTGTGGTGCACGTACAGATGGTTTCCATGGGTTTTTAGCTAAGATTCTGACATTTCTATAGATACCACGCATGTCTATGTTTAATTATGAGAACGTTGGTTAATAAAGGAAGCAGGTTTCAGAGGTTTTAACCTGTTGGTTTGTGTGTTTGTGCTCTGTAGGTGGACGGGTTCTGTCTGCCCTGGGAGGTTCCCTGTGGAGGAAACTGGGGCTGCTACACGGAGCAGCAGCGGTGCGACGGCTACTGGCACTGTCCCAACGGTCGGGACGAGCTGAACTGTTCCTCCTGTCARGAGGACGAGTTCCCCTGTTCCAGAAACGGAGCCTGCTACCCTCGATCGGACCGCTGCAACTACCAGAACCGATGCCCCAACGGGTCCGACGAAAAGAACTGCTTCTTCTGCCAGCCTGGAAACTTCCACTGCAAGGTGTGACAGCCTGGCTGTGCTCGCATGATCTAAAAACAGTTTTTAATCTTTTATGTGACAAGAAACGTGAAACGTTATCGTGCTGTTTAAGAAAATAAAAATAGACCCTTTATGATAAAACAACTTCATGAACTGTTTCTTGTTTTTGCCTCCGCAGAATAACCGCTGCGTGTTTGAGTCCTGGGTTTGCGACGCGCAGGACGACTGTGGCGACGGCAGCGATGAGGAGAGCTGTCCCATCATCGTCCCCACCAGAGTCATCACGGCGGCCGTCATCGGCAGCCTGATCTGTGGCCTGCTGCTGGTCATCGCCCTCGGCTGCACCTGCAAACTCTACTCGCTGCGCATGTTCGAACGCAGGTGAGGACGGCTGAGGCTTCTGCACGGTGGCCTCTGTTTGCTTTTCCTCGTGATTTGTCAACAGTCTCTGTGAGATTCAGATGCTGATTGGTCGTTGCAGGTCGTTTGAGACGCAGCTTTCCAGAGTGGAGGYGGAGCTGCTGAGGAGGGAGGCCCCGCCCTCTTATGGTCAGCTGATTGCACAGGGGCTGATCCCACCAGTAGAGGATTTTCCGGTGTGTTCTGGGAGTCAGGTACATAAACAAAGTCTGATATTAAATGTGTTTTTGCATCACTCCTGGAGATTCCTCTCCTGTAAAATAAAACGATCCAGCTATAGAGTAAAACCAGGGTTCCTGCGGATCCTTAAAGTCTTAAAAGGCATTGAATTTATCAATCCAAAAATAAGGCCTTAATTAGCCTTAAAAAGTCTAAAATCAGTCTTTCATAGGTCTTAAAAATGTTAACACATTGTACGTAGGATGACTAATTCGTCTCAAATGTTACAATAATTAGTAACGTTTGTTTTTTTTAAATAGTTAATCGAATCCCTCTTACAACTCGTTTTGTTTTAAAATAAATATTTGGCTAAAGATCTTGCTAACTGGGTTTTTTCCATTTGCGTTTATTGTGAAGTTGGTCTTAAATTTCATTTCAAGTGGCATTAGTTAGGTCTTAAAACGTCTTAAATTGTACATGCCTTAAGCGGCAGGAGCCCTGAAAACAGATCTCAGATTATTAAAGACCGTGTAAAGTAAAAATAAATGTGTGTTCTGAGGTTGTCACACCACAGAAATATGTGTTAAAAATCACCCAGCCAAGTTTGAACAATTAAAAATACTGTTAAAATTATAAAATTATGTGTGAAAAGTAATGAAAAAATATGTTAGCTGTGGTCTGGAATGCTGGGGGCGTGTCTGCTGGAGGAGCTCAAGCCACACCCACGACCCTGAACATTCCTGTAACTGAGGAAACAATGTTTACTTTTCCATTAGAGCAACAGGGGGCGGGGTTATGCTGAAGGCAGCTGCGTGACATCACGAGGCTGCCCTTTAAGACACGCCCAAAAAATCCTGAAACACAGATACCTTGTTACACAAATTGAATCATATCTCCACTATTCAATTATCTACAGTTGAGAGAATTTGTACTCATTTACAACAATCCATTTATGACATTTATAATGTTTAAAAAAGTAAAATGTTACATTTTACTTTACACGGTTTTTAAMAGTTGGTTTTGTCTCTCTCTCTGTCCTCAGGCGTCCGTCCTGGAGAACCTGCGTCTGGCTGTGCGCTCTCAGCTCGGCTTCACCTCCCTCAGACTTCCCTCCTCTGGCCGTCGTAGCAACCTGTGGCGCAGGCTCTTCACGTTCTCCCGATCTCGGCGCTCCGGTTCTTTGGCTCTCGTCTCGGCTGACCTGGAGGACAGCTCTGGTACTGGGAGCACCGGGAGCTCCGGCTCCGACCTGCTGTCTCCGGACTCTGACGACACGGATACGGAAGGTGAGCGAGGGAGGGAGCGAGGTGTGGGCGCGGTGGGTGGGCCCGTGGCCCCCCTCCCTCAGAAAACGCCGCCCCCCTCTGCCGTAGAGGCTGTCGTGTCCGTGGCGGCGTCTGCGACCTCTGTGACCCCAGTGCCGAGCAGAGACCGAGGCCGTGAGCGGTCCAGAGAAGCTCCGCCTCCTTCCAGCCCTGTGACCGTGGTGACCTCTAGTTCAGATCCTGAATGTCACGGCGATGCTTCAGAGCTCCCGGCTCCCTCCACCTCCGCCTTGCAGCGCCTGGCCCAGAACCTGCATCGCCTCGCTAGAAACCTGACCCGAACTAACCAGAACCAGCAAAACCAGACCTGGACCAACCACAGCCCACTCCGCCAGCTGGAGACAGGAAGAGACGGCGCTGACGCCACCGAGCGGCGAGAGAGCAGAGAGGAGGAGGAAGATGTAGMGCTCCTCATCCCTGCCTCCGACTCTGACTCCTCCTCCTCCTCCTCCTCGCTGGTCAGTGACATACGACAGCCTCTGCTGGAGCCACACCCCTCCTCCACCTCAGGTCTGGCCCCGCATCATCACCGTGGACACGGTGGTCGAGGAGGGCGGGACGGCACATGTGAACACTGTGGGATGGTCCACACGGCTCAGATCCCCGACGCCTGCCTCGAGGCCACGGGTAAGACGGAGAGCAGCGACGACGAGCTGCTGCTCTTGTGCTAACAGGCTAACCTGCCAGCTAACATGCTAACTCTCCGATGTTTCACACTTTTCATTTAGCTGGTTAAGAAGCTAACCTAACCTGCTAACAGACAGGCTAACACACAAAAACTTACTGCCTGCTAACATGCTAACTTATTTATTGTTTTAGTTTGATCATAAAGCTGGCTAACAGGTTAAACACTTGGCTAATAACCCATTAACTTTTTATTTTTTAAGAAACTAGTTAAGGCTACAAACTGTAACCTGACAGCACTCCATACTGGTCCACAAACTTAACTCTAACTTGTGTTAGCATGCTAGCTGGATCAAAGGTTAGCCCTCTTTGATGTCGGAGATAAATGAACCAATCAGAGACTCAGGAGTGATGTCACTGGTTCCTGTTGGTTTGACCACGTAAACTGTTTGTTGTTTCCATGGTCCGTGTGTTTACCACCTGCCTACCTCCCACCCTCACCCCCCACTCACAGGCTGGYGTTCTGAAGCTCATTGGTACGACTAAAAAGATTCCTGATGGAACAGACTGATGGTTCTTTAGAGATGAGAACTTTACGTTTTGATAAGGAACCCATCTGACCCGGGGATGTGTGGGAACTCTTGGTCAGGTGGGAAAGTATTTAAAGTTTTCTGCATTTTAAAAGCTGCTGGTTGAGTCTGTTTTAAGGAAACAGTGGGAATGACGATGATCATGTGACCGGTATTAATGTCCAAAGATGACTCCTTTTTTATAATTATTGTTTTTTTATTTGATTTTTTATTATTATTATTTGATGGTGGTCAAGTTCAAACTTGAGTTTCTGACATTGACACTAACCGTGAGGTGTGTTACAGAAATTAAATGTTTCACGTTGTCTGAGATCATGTCAACYGAGCAGCAACACCCGACTCAAACCGGTGTGTTTATTGGTTTTTTATCTCTAACATGATAAAAGTTCATTTATGAAAATTGTCACTTTTGTTGAAAAATGTTTACTTTCTGTCACATACTCCTTTAGTAAAAGTGACAAACACAAAGCACAACAAAAAAAAACTTTATTAAGCTTTTGTTTTCTTTTTTAAAACTGAATCAGTGGTACTTATCCAACTCCATCCTGGTGGTTTTTTYTGCATTCCCAGGTCACATGACCTTCGTCACGAGCAGTTTCACACTGCTTTTTGTGAACGAGGGTAAAGTCTTACACTTGCACGGTGTTAAAGTGTGTGCCGGATCACTTCTTATTGAAAGGTGTCAGATTAAAGAAGAGTCCAGACTACATCTGTAGGGCAGCATTTAAAGATGTTTTTATATTTAAATGGTCACATAAGCATCACAAGGACCAAAAGCAGACTGACAGCAAGGTACACGTGGATTATAAACACTCTTATTTTGTGGCTCCTTTTCCTTCCCAGACTGAAGCCGTTCAGATATCTGTATTTCTCATCTTTGTTACTGTTTTTGGTACTCATTTTACTTTGTGTGAGTGTGACTGTGTATATTTATTATTATTATTATTATTAATAATATGATTATTACGTGTTAATTTGCTGTTGTGTAGCTGTTTTTTTTTCTGACCTGCATGATTCAATTTGTTTGGTGTTTTTCTTTGAGTCTGTAAAACCTGATAAACTGCACTAAAGATTAAAGGTTCACATTCAGTGAGATGACTCCAGAGATTTAATTTAATCCTAATGTTGTTGCTTTTAAATGTTCACATTTGGAGCTTTACCGCCCTCTGGTGGAGGAGATTCTTACTGCGTTTACATGAGGGACCACTTCCACTCTAGGTTTTTTTTTATTTTTTTATTTTATTTTTTGGCACTGGTAAACATCTTATGGACAATTTGCAGCACTCTCGGAACAGATATTGAGCCAATATTTAGTGTTATAAGAGCTGAGAATCATTCACAGCAATTATTTTATTAAATTTATTTTATATTATTTACAATATTACATTTTCAAGGTTTGACCAAAACCGCTACAACTCTATGGATTTCAATGGCTATTTCAATCAAAAAAATAAAAAAAAACCTATCAAAACGTTTTTTGCAAAACAGAAACTTTTGGTTGAATCTCAAACTTTTGGTTGACTTTCTAAGTTTTTGGTTGAACTCAAAAAAGATTTGAACTCAGACATCACAAACGAGGGTAGTGGCGCAGGGAGTAGAGAAGCCAAGCTTGTGATTGGAAGGTAGCCGGTTTGACTCCAGGTTGGTCTCCATGTTGCATGTGTGATAGGTTAAATGCAGAGACTTAAAAGAGACCTATTATGCAAAATTCACTTTTTAAAAGTTTTTTTTACTCAACTTTGGCAAATAGGCTTTAACAAGGCTTTAATAAGCTAAACAATAGAAGTACATGAGAAAACGTGTTCATAACAAACAAAAAAAATTAAACTCTTTGTGTCCATGTCGGTCTCAATCCCTAGTCTCCCACCCTGTGATCCAACACTCTACCCACTATGCTATAGGAGGCTTGTTATAAAGTGAGCTGCACCATTACACAACAACACCGTGACGGCTTTTTGTACGGAGCAGGAGCTTTACCCGGGGTTTACTAGGTAAGGGGCTGAAGGCAGGTTCTGGTGGGTTGTCGTACGGCTTGTGACATCACAAAATGTAGGAAGTATAAAACTTGTCATTAATATACATTAAAATATATTTACTTACAGTAAATATGCCCCTGGGTGCATTTTTTTGAAGTACATACCCAAAGTTGAGTAAAAAAACTTTTAARAAACAAATTTTGCATAATAGGTCTCTTAAGTCTCTGCAATTAACCTATCACACATGTGAACACACGTGCAACATAGAGACCAACCTAGAGTCGAACCGGCTACCTTCCGATCGCATGCTTGGCTTCTCTACTCACTGCGCCACTACCCTTATTTGTGATGTCTGAGTTCAAATCTTTTTTGAGTTCAACCAAAAACTTAGACAGTCAACCAAAAGTTTGAGATTCAACCAAAAGTTTCTGTTTTGCAAAAACCGTTTTGATAGTTGTTTTTTTTTTTTTTTTTGATTGAAATAGCTTTTTTAGTTTAGTTGAAAAAATTTTTTTGGTTGAAAATATTTTTTTTTTATTGAATTACTTTTTGTTTGGTTGAAAAAAATATTTTTGATTGAATTTTTTTGATTGAAAATGCTTTTTGTTTGATTGAATAATAAAAACACAAATTTACCTCCATACAACTCATTTCTCAATGTAAGATGATCTTTGTCTAGCGAAAGCATCTGGCCATATGCATTCCTTCAAAATAAAAGCCAAGCTTTTATATATTTTTTTACTGAAACTTGGAAAATTTCCTTTGTCCAAACTTAGAGAATAATACAAACTAATTTTTTTTGTTTTGTTTCACCCATCAGGAGAAGCTCATCAAAGCTGTAAAGTTTTCCATCTTTCACACAAACCAAGAGCAATGGTTCTCAGGTACAATCATGTTTAATTGGACTAATGAGCACGTTTCTTTTTTTTTTTTTTATCTAGGAGAGGAAATCTAAACAGGCACATAAAGAACATTCAGATGATGTGAGGTGAGAGGGCATCTGAGTCACTATTAGACTGAAGAATAAAAAAAATCAACATCAATGAAAATAAAATGTTTAAATGATTTGCAAATCATTGCATTCTGTATTTATTTACATTTTACACAGCATATTTTTTTTAAAAACTTAAACAAGGCTGTAGCAGACATAGCAGCAGAACCTTAAACCTCGGAGGACGGATGATGTTTTGGAGAACCTTTTAACGTCACGTGGAGAACCCGAGAACGCTGAAGAATGAGTTGTGTTTGAAACCGACATGTCACAGGTATTTTACAAAATCAGAGCGATTTGAGAATCGTTTATTTTCCTGTTTTCAGGCGACATTCCCACGTTTTCATGGTTGTATTTTCAGTTTTGTTTTGTTTTTCCAGGTGATGTTTCGGTTGTTTTTTTCCCTTTTGTTCTGTTTGTTTTTTTGTTTATTCCATGCAAAAACATAAAAAAAAACCGGCCTCCATGTTCTTGCATCTCCTCAAAAACTCATATGACAGATTGAGTCTTTAGGTTGTGTGCCCACCGACTGCCACATGACACCTGAGGAGCTGCTGTGATTGGCTGGCAGCTTCAWGTCATTTGGCCACTCTTTCTAAAGCATCTTTTGCCACTTGGCTCCGCCCCCTTTGGATTTAATAAAGGAAGCCTCTGTCTCCCCTCGATGACAACATCATGGCACAGGTACGTCATCAGCGTGACGTCATCATGCAGCATGCAGCAGCACAGGAGGATTGTTGGACTTTTTTTTTTTTAACCCTCCCTCCCAGCGGCAGTGTGTCCCCTCCTGCTCGCTCTTGGCCCCTTTCTGAGACGACGCAGTCAATCCCGTCTCCCGATGCTAGGATTTGCTGCCTTCCGTTTCCTTATTAGTCAGCGGGGCCAAGGCTGGGTCCACCAGGGAGGTGGCAGGAAACAGTTTAAACCAGCCAATCACCATGTTGGACAGGTCCAAATCGTCCAAGAGGATCTGAGCAGCGCCCATGAAGGATTTATGGTCCATTCGTCCATAGTCGCCCCAAACGATTATCTACAGAAACAAATGAGAAAATCAACGTTTCCAGTCTCTGAACACAACGTCCAACTGTCTGTAAAGCAGATGTAAGCGTTTACCTGCAGCACCTTTCCTTCAGGGTTTTCTTCAAACTGCAGCTGCTGTTGATAAAGAGGATCAAGAGTTTTTCTCGCCAGACGAGTTCTTCTCTTTAAAACACACTTCCCATTGTCCATTAAATATACTTTCACATAGGGAGCTGCAAAAACACACATAAATCATTTAATCATCAGTTCTAATGTGGGCATGAGGATATTTATGCATTACTTTTTATTTGTATAACAAAATAAGGCTGTAAACACTGCAATGCAATAATAGCTTTTTTTTTTGCCTGAACATCAGAAGCACTGACAGTGGCATTTAAACCTAATATACTTTTATTTTTTTTACAGAGAACATAAAGAAAACACATGCATTATCTACAAAGAATGCTAATTTCCCCCCTAAATTCAGTAAATATTGTAATTTAATTTATCAAATTTGATGATAGATTGTTTTTCATTTTTTGTTTAAGTTCCTGCTTTAAAAAAAAACAACTTCAGTTTTTC